TGGCTGCTTCCTGCTTCTTTTTGAGAAGTTGCAGGTCAATTGATTTAGGAAGCAAATAATTTTTAAGCTGTCAGTTTTGACTAGTCAAAATAAAGATATATGAAAAGGAAAGGTTTCCTAAATCAGGGCTATAGCAAATGGAGGACAACTGTTCTTTGTTGATAGCAGCTGGGTTGGGACAGGAAAGCTAAAGACTTTTCTAGTACTCTGTTTTTAAAGACAATGTGTCTTGGTTTTCCCAAATAAAAGAAAACAGGAAAAAATTTAGATTGTAAAAACCATCTTTGTTCTATGTCAATGCAACAGGCAGACTTCGGGATGAAGTGATTTGAGTGTCATTCGGCCTGATCAGTCTTATTCGTGGTTTGTCAATATTTTTGCATTATAGAAGTTTAAAACACATTAAATATTTCCCTAACATGACTGTTTCATCCCAGATAGAAGTTTCACTGGCATACTGTGTATTGGTGAAAGTATCATTTGGTAAAGCAAGGTGGTAGTTCATGTGGTCCCTACAGGGGACCTCCGGTTTCAGCATCACCCACACAACAGAAGTGCCTTTAGAGCATCCTTGGACTAGAACAGAGTTAAAATTAAGGAAACTCATTTTTTGGTTACTGTAATACTTACTTATTTATATTATTATTTTCATAATAAATATTTTTTAAAAATATGTGGACACCAGGCTGCTCTAAGTATTTAATGAAGTCATAAAATGTCATGTCTTGCCTGAGAAATAAGTTTAAAACAAAAAGCAACTTAAACCCATTACAGAAGAAAGGTTGAATTCTTTGCTTCCAGTTTTGTCCCTTATTATTAATTTATAGTCTCATTCTTTGTTCCTTCACTGTTATGATTTGTCTTACAAGAATAGTATATTCCCCTTGTCTCAATAAACTGAAATAAAATGGAATTAAGTTAAAATTGGTATTTTACAGAATGTGAGATTCTTTTCTTCAGGGAAAATCTCCAATTGGATAGCCACTTGTGTCAAGCAATTATTAAACTGTGTTTTAGAATTTTAGGTGTCATTATATTCATGATGATACCTGAGAAGGCATAGGCTTGTATCAAGCATCAAAATTGATTTTTATAGTTATGTACAAAAAATGAGTTTTCATCTCAACAGTTCTGAATTATTTTCATGAAAGAAGGTGAACCTCTATTTGAACACTGTGTCACAAATCCCTAGGATTGGAAAAAGTTTTTGAATGGGTGGAATATTGCAGATAGCTGAGCCCTCGCTTGGAAGGTGTGGTTTGTAAGGTTCCTTGCACAGCTTTGCATGGTGATGTAGTCATTCCAGTGAGGGATGCTGATGGCACCTAGTGCTTAAGAGATTTGGTAATTTCAGGAGAATACTGAATTGAAATAATTGATATAATTCATACTTTTCATGGGATTACATTACTCAGTAGAGCATCTGATGAATGGAAAATATTGCTATCCTAGTCTTTTTTTTCACTCCAGCATTGAAATGTGTTTTGTTTTCCCCAGAACTGCTTTTCCCTTTGAATGTTCTTTTGACAACCTGTCTGGATAATCCTTTTGTTAATTTGCTGCTTCTTCTTACCCCAGTCATAACAGTACCATGTGAGGGGAACTAGATGATCTTTAGGGCCCTTTCCTACTCAAGCCTTTCTATTATTTCTATGATTTTATAGCTACCAAGCAGATGTGGTGGCTCAGCATGATTTCCTAAGTGGCAGAGGAGAGTGGTCAGTGAATTTTGGGTACCTTACTCTTCTGCTGAGATGTTGCACGCCTTGTCCTCTTTTGGAAAATCAGGATTTTGAAGTGCTTTAGACTGGACTCCCAAAATCAAGTAATTTGATGCTCCTAATCACTTCCAGAAATGCTGTTTGCTCTCATTTCAGTTCTATGTTTCAACAATAAATTTCCTTAGAGAGAGAATAAATAACATTTCCATCAACCAATCTAAATAGAGATAAAATGTTTTCAACAATAATAATTTGCATTTATAAAAGGTTGTCCATTTTTTTAAACATATGCAAATAGTGAAATCCAGTAATAAATTTATGAGAGTCCAGTCAATACCAGCTCTAGGTCTCAACAGGTCTATTTTGAGAAAGGTAATTTGTTCCATGTTAAAGAAAAGTGTGTGATGTCAAACAGAGATCTTTTATAAAAATCTAATCGTTTTACTAATTCTGTAAAGACTATTGTGAGTAGAAGGTGGCAAAATTTTTAGTTTTATTCATCCATTATGCAAAATTTTTAGAAACAGAGAGGTTATAACCTTCAGGTTTTGCACAATGGCCTCTGATAAATATCAATCCTCCAAGGCAGTTGAATTCATCAGTAAAATGCAGCATCACTGTAGGACCTGGGAGTCTATAACAGTGATCAGACCAGTTCCTTTCCTCATTTTGAATCTTTGTGCAGGAGCAATAATTCACTGCTCTTTAAATAGCTTTGTTGAATGTAGTCCCTTTTTTTTCTTTAACTTGCAACATCTGAACAGTCACATCCCAAGTGCTTACTACTCAATATGGCTTGGTGATCATCTTCAGTTACTAATTCTGTAGATAAATGGGAAATTATTTGACTTTAGTATGTAGCAGCTGAAAGTTCTACCTTTATTGCTCTTTTAATTTTGCTTATTTGAAGCTGGTCAGAGTTACACAAATAAATTTGCTGTAATAAAAATACAGGGCAATACTGAAATTTTTTTTTGTGAAAAGGAAAAAAGCTTTCAGAATTCAAGACAGTTTAGGCAGTTGTGCTTGGATGGATATTTTAGTTCTGGTTGTAAAAGTTACGCTGTAGCGGTAGTAAGGAGGAAATCTTGAAACAGGGAGAGATGGCTTAAAAGTTTTAAGGCAAAGTGCCATATCAGCTGTCATTCCTCTGCTTCCATTTCCTAAGACAACATTCCTTTTAAAAATGTAGCACTACACATTTGTGAAATAAACCAAATTCCTCCATCAAACTTTCAATTGCTACCTTGCCATGCTTTGTTAATAGATTTTGTTTCCCCACAAAATATGTAGCATCTGTTGCAAGGATATGAACTGTTTGTTTAAAGTCTTACTGTGGGTTTGGCATCAGCAGCACAGCTCAGGCACAGCTTTTCCATTCTCCTCTTTGGAACAGACCTTGACGTACAATGTGACTAGAGGCTTGTGACATACCTCGTTGTCCCTCCTCTCTGCTGGGTTTTTGTTTCTTATACCAGCCATATTCTTGCATCTCTTCAGCTTCAGGGAATAAAATTTCCAAGAGTCAAGCTGCACAGGGAAAAGGTGGAGGAGTTATAGCTCTGCTGTGCCACTTCTGACTCATGTGTACAGGGGAAGAATTAGGAGAGGAGGCTGCTCCCTTCCTTATTAATTTTGCAGGGGTCACCAGTACAGGAACATGAGGACATATGTTCCCTTCCCAGTTTGGAGAGGAGAGCGACAGAAGAGAAACTGCAATCCAAACTTTAGATTTTTAAAAATGCATAAACAGTATTTAAAAAGGTGGTTTAAAATACACATCCTAAATAATTTTAAAAATGTAAACTTAATGTGAAATTTTAACCAATATTCTTAAAATATTCTGCAATGTTTGTCCAACTGAACTGTTCTGTTCACACCGTGATGCCAGAAACTCATGGTATTCCTGAATATATTTTGTTATAAAACAGATAAAAAGCTCTGTAGCTCTTCTTGGTAGGGCAATATACTTTTTCAAAAACTTTCTAAAACCTTCTCGGAGTAAGGATGAGTACAGAAGTTTACAAAACACGAGCACAACAGGAAATAGCAGGAAGCAGCAGATCTTTTGTTTGTCCTGTGGCATGATAGCAACTCTTTTGTGTGCTACACATAAAAAAATTACATCTTTTCTGTCAGATAGTATTGGCTATGCTACAGGATGAAATGCATGTAAAATAGATATGTTGCTCACTAATGTCAGATGAAGTAGCTTTTATTGAAAATAAGATGTGAATCTTGTGAACAAACAGCTTGAGACGTATACAAAGCTTGAAAGCAAGACAAAGTCTGTAGTTAGTAGAATCAGTGATATAAAACTGACCTGAAGATTTATTTTTAATGTGTACTTTGCATTATTAATACTGGGGCCTCACTACATGCTGTAACTATTTAAATTAATCAGAAGATACACCCAGATGCTTCTGCTTTTTAATATTTTATTTAAACAGATTGTCTTGGATAAGGAATACAATTTATTATCACAAAACTGCCTTTGACTAATGCTGTGTTGTTTATCCACCAATATTTACAATACTATTATACAATAGTACAAGACATTAGCTAACGCATATTGAGTAGTTTTAACATAGTAATTATCTTTTTATGTTTCTTCGTCATGTCAGTATAACATGTGAGAAGACATTAGACCTCAGGGTTTTCAATCAAAAAGACTTTTCTTTCACAGAATCTGTGTTTTGCTTAGAGAATATGTTTCTTTCTAAATGTTGTGTCTTACACTGATAAAATTCCATGTGGAAAGACTCAAGCTACTTAAAACCTGACAGAGCTAGTGTTGAAGTTGTATCCTGGTGCAATTCTAAGCAGTGAATATCCTCTTCAACTGAGAATTCTGCCTGAGAAACACTGAGAATTAGATTGATAATATTATCATTTGCTGTTTTACCTTCTGCTCAGAAATTAAATATGTTTAGTATATTTAACAGAACAATTAGCATTTAAGTTATTTTAAGTTACTAAACTCTCTGTATATATATATATATACACTAAAAAAAAGAATAAAAAATATAAGGGGGAATTGTTCTCTTAATTGTCTGCTCTTAATGAGAAATAAAAGCTGATTTTGAAGAAGAGAGATTGTATGATTGAGCCCTTTTTTGAATAAATGAGCATCACCAAAGTCAAAATTCATGGCACATGTAAAACAATCTGATTGTTGTATCTGTTTTGCCATTAGCTAAACTGCTAGAGACAATAAGAACATAGGAAACTTCTATTTCTTTAACAAATGCTTTTCTTTATTCTCCCTTGGTCATACAGTCATTCCCAGCACAGCACTGCAACGCGTCCACCCACAGTGAGCTTGCAGCGGACCATTTCTGTGGAAGGGTAAGATGATTCTCTGTTGAAGCTGCCTGTAGAGCTCTCAGATACCACTGACCTACCCACATACACATAGCTCTTCACTAGATGTGGTTTTGCATACCGCAGTGTTTAAGTCTGTGAGATGAAGCAATAAATAGTTTCAAATTAGTGCTGATCCTCTCTTGATACTTACACTGAAAGGTTTGGTTTTCATGGAAATGAGCATATCTGTCATGGTGATATGTTGTATACAAGTTCTTCAATTCATCTCATTTGACTAGTGTTAATATTTAGTGGTGTTAGCTGTAAAATGGTTCCCACTAATCATGGAAATACCCAGTGAAGTCTTACTCTGTTTTCTTAATGTATGCATGAGTTTGTTTTGACAAAACAGTGTCCAAAACCAAGGATGAAGAAGTACTGATAGAGAATATTAATCCTGTCCTGATGTATATCTGTGTATATGAATGTAGAAGCATAGCTCTGGGTACATGGCTGACTCAATTTTAACTAAAATAATTGGGTAAAATGTGAATAATTCACAACCACAGTTAATATTCCTACATCTTTACAATATTAGAAAGGCTGATATTTAACACAGAAACACAGATTTTGTTTGCATTGACTGGCATAGTTTACATAAAATGTCAGATTTGTTTCTCCCCTCCCACATAGAAATGTGGAACTGTTCAAAATCTTTAGTAGGCAAGGGTAATAACTTGTCATTGGCTGCTCTCAGGTCATATTTCAAAGCATTTCTTTCTTGTGATAAAAGTGAGAAAACAAAGTTTCCACAGAGGAAAGATGTCATCTTGTTGTATTTTGGTTTCTGTTACAGCTGTACTGTGGTGCAGTGAGAAAATAAAGTAGTAGATGTGTAAAATAATCCAGTGAAGCCTGAAATGGTTGTCTCAGAAGTCTCATTTTTTTCTTTCTTATCTAGATCTAAGATTTTTAGTCTTTATTTAAAATGTGTGAGACAGCTATGGTAATTATTCATTGAAAATTAGACCGAATAATGAAATTCCTACAGTAAAGGGGCATATGGCTTAAGGGCTGTCATCTGGAAGATAATTTTATAAATTAAGTCCTCATCATCCAGCCATCTTCGTCAAAACAGGGCCAATTTCAAGGTAGATCAGATTGCTGAGGGTCTTGCCCAGTGAGGCTGTGACTATCACCAGATGTGGAGATGTCACAAATTCCAGACAACCAGTCTCAGTGCTTAAACACCCTCCTTTTGGATTTCTTTTCCTTTTCTCTCTAATCAACAGAGAGAGTCGTAATAAATTCCCCTGTCTTTTCTTCAAATCAACTCATGAATAAATTGATGTTTGAAATAAAACTGAACTGCAAGAACAAGTTTGGTGGTGAAAACAGTGATTTGTTAATCATTATTGAAAAAATAAAGAGAGGAAAGAAAAAAATAATTTACTCAATTGAGATTTGAGGAAAGAAATTCTATTGTAATGTCTCTGACTTGGTCTACTGGACTCCATAATTCAGGAGGCATCCTGTAGCTTTTAACTCCTACGGAAATTTTGAAATCAGTCTGAGTACATGAATTTTTAGATAAATCGCAGAATCTGTGCTGGACACACAGACAACTTGCATATACTGTGTGTGAATCATTAGAGCGCAGAAAATCTGCAGTTGACACCACAGGTCTCCTGCTGTTCAGGAGGTAGAAGAATATCGGCTTGTAATTATTACTAATCAACTTGCACAGAATCGCATTTCATTTCACATAGGAAAGTGGGACTGTGAACCTATTCCACTGCTGAGCAGAAATGAGTAATCAGCTCAACCCTAAATATTTATGTTAAAACTTGATTTATTCTAATGTTTTTGTAGAGCTCATGCTGCCAAGTATGTTTATAGCTGACACAATTTTGAGGTCAAAATAAAGTTCTTTTTCTTTTTTAGGAACCGTGTTTCCATCAATAGAGTCCTGTATTTAGGAGACCCATTATATTGCTTTTGAGATGCACTTTGTAAACAGCTGCTTTACCTGCAAGGCATCCCTGGCACATGCAGACATTTGTACCCTGCATGCTGGCTCTGTCTGACTGACTGTGGAGTCACTGAAGTGATATAATTATTGGGTCCTATGAATGAGAAATTAAATTTGGGAGGGTTAAAGAAATACAGGGGGAATTGCATTCACTGGCATTTAGTCTTTTCCACACTGTTGAATATGTGGTAATTGAGCTGGTCAGAACAGATTTTTTGAAAAACTTGAATAGTTTTTTCAATTAGATAATGGATTCATACATAAAACAATATTTTTTTTTTTTTTTTAGGGAGGGCTTTTGTAGCCTTCATGTACAGCAACAAAATTAATAGCAAGGTGGAAAAATAAAGATGTCTTTAAAGATTATTTTTTCTTTATGTTCAAGCTATATATTCTTTAGAGTGTAATAACTTTACATGAGGTTTACAGATTTATTATGTGTACAAAGGCATGAACTTCAGGGGTGTTTGGGGTCATCATTAGTGTGATCTCATTAGTAACTTCCCTAATGGTTTATTTGCATGGTTTAAAAACCAAGAAAACTCTAATGTTTGAATTCAAAAATATTGAGGTTTTGAGTTTTTGGTTTTAATGAACAACCTTAGCTATAAGTATTCAAAATAGGAAAAATATTGGTTAAAAACAAAGCCCTGAGTTTTTTTGAAATCCTGCTGTACTGTTCCACAGAACTGTAATGTTAGTGATATCTGATAGCTATTCTCTCTGCAGTTGATATCCAGATTAAATTGTATTTTGTATGCTATCAGCCATCTCTTAGAAACTGGGATTTCAGCTTATTTGATAAGAGTGTTTTGACAGAAATATTACACCTATTTTTCAATGTGACCGAGTATCTGAAATATATAAAAATATTTATATGTAAATAAACAGCATTTGAACCATGACTAAAGGTAAGAATTTTTATTCTGAATAGGACAGATATTATAGACCACTTCATGTTTCAAAAGTGTCTTCTATAAAGTAATTTTGGATGCTTGCTGCTAGCTGTCTGTGTATTGATATTTCGAAACATGGCTTAGGGGCACTGCTATTTTTAGATACTGTCTGAGCCTTTGAATACTTCCTCTCTCCTGATAGTTCAATTGTTTACAAACTGTAAAGCTGGAGCATTCATGGTAAATAGAGCCATCGAATGCTGTAAGTAATAGTTTATAGAAAAGTGGAACCAATAATCTTTAAAAGCAGAATGCAAAGCAAACCTTTTTAGTGTAGAGTTGCCTGTGTTGGGTATAGTAAGTGGAACAGAGATGCAGTTTTCAGGATTTATTTTGATTATTGGCATGTAAATCATGCACCTCCTGGAACAGGGAAGAGAGACAAGTGATTATGTGAGACAAAGTATAAATGAGCAAGCAGACAGGAATAATCATATCCCTTATAGAACTAAATATCATATTAGCTGTCCTACATTATTGCTCTGGAAATCAATGAGATTTCTCAAACACAGAAGACATACTCCTGTGTATTTAAAGTAAATGTCAGGTGTCATGGTAAGAATACAGACTAGTTTTTCAAATAAGAGATTATTCCTGTATGCCAATTCCAGCTTGCTATCTGCAGGCAGAAAACATTGCGTGGTGTGCAGGCTTCAATTCCTCTACAGAAGACAAAATAAAAGACTGTTAAAGTCCAGAGGTCTTCCTACAAAACAAATACAGTTGCAGATGTATAAACCAGTGCACTCACGCATACATCAGTCAGGTTGAAGCCTGACTCCCAGTAGGTTCCCTTGTGTTAAATATACTTCAAAGTTTATGACAAGTTAGACATGATGTTTGCAGAATAAATGCATTAAAAATTTAGTCAGTATTAAAATTAGAATAAAGCATTGCTTCTACAGTTAATGCCAACATTCAATCAACAAGAAATGCCAAGGAATCCATAGTCAAATAAATGGACAAAATACCTTTTTCAAGCAGAATGGGTAACTGTGGTAAGGAAAAATGATATTTTATTGTGTGATATGATAAATTAACATCTCATTAAAGGCAGAATGCTCAGTTGTTAGTATGCCAACATTTAGTAAAATGAAATAAGTCACTAATCAATTATGGGTAGTGAGAATTAAAACTGCACAAGGCCAAAGCATTGTCTCGGTTTATGAATGTGATGTTGCCACCCTTGACTGTGATGGTCAGTGTGACAGCAGTAGATAAAAAGAAGGTTTCCTTATTTTTGTTATTAAAAAATTAATACAGGATAATACAAATTAACATCACAATCAGGGATCAGACCTCACAATCAGGATCAGGTGCAACACTGATGTGTATCACTGATGTGTGCAGCTCTTCCAGGCTCTTAGGTGGTATAGGACTGGGAATTGGAGAAAGGAAGGTCTGTCAGCTCCCTACCACTGCCTGGTCCTGGTGTTTTGGAAACCATGCAACAAAGGCAGAGGGAGGGAGGGGAGAGGAAGGCTAGGGGTAGAGCTGTTTCACATCACAGTGGAAAGATTTTCCCAAGCCTAAGAGGGGAATAACAAGGAGAAGAGTAAAAGCCAAGATGTAATAGAAGTGATATTGCAATAAGGCAGCAGATGAGAGCAATACAGACAGATTTTTCTCTAATTGCATGAAGCAGAGTTATAGAAGGTATGAAAGAAAATCTATATAAGGAAAGCTTGGTTTCACCAGAACTCAATGTATTTTTAAAAAGTGTGTATGTGTATTCCAGGCCTTCAACCACTTAAGATTTCATATTCTCTTTTCTGTAATTAATCAGATTTTAAAACATCACACATACTTGAACATACTCTCTCCATACAAGCTTCCTGTGTTAAATTCTGTGAAGAATGATCTCTGTTTGAACTACCTTTTTTAGGTCCTTCTACTACAAATGTCCTTTGGTTGCCAGAAATAAATATGCAGTTATTTATCGATATTTTTTGAATCATGAGAGGAAAATGAGAAGTATTGTTCTGAAAGAGAAATGACTTGATTAGCCAAATGACTCAAAGGTAGTTCAGTGCTCACACAGTGAATTGTCAGAA